TTGCAGACTCACCTTGCTAGAAGCCGACAGATCTGGGGCTTGAACCCAGGGCCTCACATATGCAAGACAAGTGGCTACCACCAAATTGTGCTCTAGCCACTCCAGAGTTAGATTTCAGAAGCCCATGATGAGGGAACTGCCACCACCCAGGTTGTAAGTCACAGCATCCATCTGGTCCCAGCCATGCAGGGCCACTTTGGCAGACCAAACCTTTTCTTGAGAGCTTGGGTGGTAGAGAAGGAGACCAGAGGTCGTTGCTTTAATCACATGCTAGGGAAGGTTGACAAGGCTCAAGCCATTCTTATCCAACACAGAAGTAGAGCATGCCAAGAATGAGAGAAAATACAAATGTCTACTTTCTCTCCAAGTGAGAAGTAGCTTGGAGACCTTCCTGCCACGTGACAACTCTGGCTACGGATCTGACCTGGGACCCACAGCCTGGGACTGCTTTAGGAGCCAAAGACTGAGCAGCAAGTGTGGACATTACTCCCAGAAGAACTTGGTGCTGGGCAGACAGAAAGCTGAGTTTCACAGGTACAGTGTGTTAACTGCACGTCAGAACTACAGCCTTCTGTCTGGGTGATAGAGGACTGTGTTCTTACAGGGCTGTTTGTCCTCAGCCTCCATTCCTGTGAACATTTTGCATATAGATAAGAACCAGCTTGCCGTTCGGCCAAAGGGAATAAATCTGCAGACCAGGAAGGGACCTAGTGGCTGAGTCTTGACAGCTGGGCAAAGCACAAGTCCGAGAACCTTCCTGTGAGCTGTCAAAGCTGTGTCTGGCATGGACAGTGCAGAGTATGGGGCCATACAGCTCTACCCACTCAGCCAATGAGTTGATCCAAGCTGCTAAGCAGCTTGCTGGAGACCAGAGGCCCAGCAGGGAACAAACACATGTCAGCCAGGACCTCACGAGATTGTCGCTGACAGCAGAAAAGCAAGCTCAAGCTAAGTCCTGTTGTTCTCTTGGGTCTCACAAGGGCAGTGATGGAGAAGCATGGTCAGCAAGTCAGGAACTGTGGGAGGAAAGGGGCTGGAAGATTTGAGAAGCTGTTTAAACTGTGGGGCTTTCAATGATCATACAGAGAGGAGTCATAAACCCAGGTCAAAGTCACAGTTCACCCAGCACTGAAGCCGCCTTTCAGGCCCGACTTCCCCATAGCAGTCACTCTCGTTTACTTGTTTTAGTTTCTGTGTATGGGTGTTTGCTTGCATGATGTATGTGCACCACATGCATGCAGTGCCTGCAGAAGCCAGAGGAAGGCATCAGATCCCCTGGAGCTGGAGTTACAGGCAGTTGTGAGCCACCGTGTTGGTGCTGGGTGCTGAACCCAGGTCTTCCGAAAGAGCAGCCAGTGCTCTTAACCACTGAGATACCTCTCCAATCCCTTCACGGAGTCGTTTCTACATCATGGCAATGCAGAGGCACTTTCCTACAACGAGAGCACCCTCTTCATGAATTGTATTTTCATGTAGCATTGCTTGTTTTAACTAAAACATTTAATCAAACAATTGTGAATTCACAGACAGTTGTTAGAAATCACACTCGGAGGCCCCATGTGACTTCCACCCGGTGTCCAACAATGACAAGGGTAGAAAATGAGGCTAGAAAACTGACCTTGTGCAGTCCAATCAGAGCATTCCATCATCCTCCATCAACAACTCTACTTCCAGGTCTCTCATCCCCAGATCTCTGATGGTACCCTTTAGGGATGGCTTCCCTCCCTCCTTCCCTGAGCCCCTCAATGGCTGCTCTGTCCTCCAGGTCTAAAGTTCATCATCTGCTATAAAAACAGGACTGTCTAGATACAATCCTTTGGAATTCACTGTTCCACACATTGTAATTTTCTGGAGCCTTGTCCCAGCTGTGCTCTGTGGCTCCTTTCAATGGCGGAGACATGTTTGATGCTGTGAATGTATCTCAGCTTGGGTCATAATTTGTGTTTAATGAGGACATCTGTGAACAGGTTTCTCTAGGACATAAGCCCAGGAGCAAAGTTACTGGGTCGCAGGGCAGCAAGGTATTTAGAATTTTCAAAACCTTCCAAACTGCTTCCAGGAGCCTGCCTCATTTAATGCTCATACTGGCAACGTGTAAGTGACCTATGTCCTGGGCATCCCCTCCAGAGAGCGGGGTGCCGCTGTATGCAGCCATTCTGATGGGAGTAAAGAGACACTTCGTTTTTATCTCCCAGGTGGCTGATGACTCTGCATTATCATCAAATCTCTCCTTTGATGTGTCTGTCACAGCTTTTGTCCCCCTGCTGCTGAGTCTCAATAAAAAATACAAAATAATTTCTTTTATCTTATACTTCCACGTTACAGTCCATCATCAAAGGAAGTCAGAGCAGGAACTCATGACAAGAACCAAGAGGCAGGAGCTGAACTCAGCTGTAATTTGATTTTTCATTTTCCTTAAAAAATATTTACTGTATTTTTGCTTTTAGGCATGCGTGCAGAGAGTTTCAGGAGGTCACGAGCCACCTGGCATGAGCGCTGGAAACCAAACCTGGGTCCTCTGGAAGAACAGCATCAGCCGAGCCACCTCTCCGGCCTGGTTTTCAATATTCAATCTAGGCTCCTTCTTCTTACATGACTCTCGATTGTTGCACACCAACAAAACACTAATCAGTCAGTACACGGACCCCGCGTTCATTGCTAATACATACAAATGCAATGAATTTTGTCTGTTAGTCAGATATCTGGAAACTTTCTGAATTCAATGAATGTCCTGGAATTAGAAAAAAAAAAAAAAAGAGTCTGGGATTTGAGTGTAAAAGGACTTGTCATCAGCAGCAGGCAGGCAGTCTCCTTTCTTCTGCCCAGTGTGTTTACATTTTATTTGTTTCCTTTTCTTGACTTACTGCTATGGCTTAGCCTTCTCCCGGCGTGTTAATTTGCAGCCAACCTGACACACTCATCCTATACGTCTCAAATCCTATCCTTCTCAGTAAGTGTAATCTGGACATGGGGACTTGATAGGTGCCTTTAACAATCACCACCAGTGGGTGCTGAATACGTCAAATGCTCTGCCCATCGGTTGCCTGGCCGCCTGCCATTTCATCTTTATTCTTGCAACGTTAACGCACTGTAGTGGTTGTTTGAAATCTTTTTCTTTTTTATTATTTGAGAGTTTTATATGTGTATAATGTGGCTTCATCAAATTCCCTCCCTGTCCCTTCCCCTCCAGTTTCTCCCCCATCTCCTTACCTTTGCCCTTCACAACTTCATGTGGATTCAAACAAACAAGCAAACAAAAACACTGAGCTATTTTGTGCTAGAAGTATGTGCATGTGTGTAAAGACCACTCCTAAAAACTGATTTTT